GGGCAAGAGAAAGACATGGGTGTGAACTAGTAAACGAGAAGGGGAGTATGAAAATGAGAGAACGAGAGAGAGAGAGAGAGAGAGAGAGAGAGAGAGAGACAGAGGGAGGGAGATAAGCAGGTAGTCTGGAAACCGGGGCAAGAGAAAGACATGGGTGTGAACTAGTAAACGAGAAGGGGAGTATGAAAATGAGAGAACGAGAGAGAGAGAGAAAGAGAGAGAGAGAGAGAGAGAGAGAGAGAGAGAGAGAGCGCGCGAAAGAGCGAGAAGGGAGTGAGTGTGCGACCGAGAGAGACCGAGCGAACAAGAATGAGAAAGAGCGCGAGAAATAGAATGTTGTATATATAATTTTCCTTAGATTACTAGGGATCGCATTCGATGTATTCAGTAGCATCGCTATGACATCTCTAGTATCGGTCCAACCATTTATAGTCCTTACCGTTCTTATACGTATTGCCATAGCAAGTGACTGTTTTGATCTAAGCTAGCGGAGTGACTATATTACATCCGCGAATCTGTGCCATCTAGTAACTAGAATCACACCACACGCACGCCATGTTTGCTCACAAACATGGAGAGTAAACGACAATATTGACACATATCGGCAGGTAATGCAATAACCGGCTAACTTCACAAGGTGTCCTGGTAAACGCAATGATTAAATTCAAGCTAATGTGTTCGCAACCACTCTGGTCTTAGTGTGTGTAATAGTATTATTGATACATTATTTAGACGACTGAGTCCGATTTTCGGAAATTGTGGGAATTTGGAAGTTCCGCCTAGATTTTATTACTATAATTCTTTTGACGATTAAAAAGTGGGAATGCGTGCACCTTATGGCTCCGAGGAAATATTGGACTTTGCGTATATATATACGTAACGCAAAGTCCAATATTTCCTTTGAGCGATATATATATATTTCACGCGAAACCATGGTTTTTTGTTATATCCGTATATTATTATTATTTTGTTATTATGTTGTTTATTATTTATTATGTTCGTTAATTTATGTTCATAGCGAAGCCGAGTATCTTATATATATTTGCGTAACACGCGGGCGGGAAGCCAGGAAAACAGATCACTTGATGAATCTAACTTTGACTGGACTACTTAGATGGGGGTCACTCATAGCGTGGTGAAAGTTGATAGCAGATAAATTGATTTAATAAATCCACCGTCTCATGTTTTGCGTCCATTATCTATGATGGCAGTATAAGTGATGTTGCCTATTTCCTATAGTAGCACATGTGGCGCATGTAGCGCACGTGGCACATATAAATATGTTATTTAGTCTGTTATTAGATGTTTGAATAATAGCGCCTTTGCGCACACTCACCACATCCGATCCACTGCTATATATAAATTTTGTTATGAAGAAACAGGTCTTGTAGGTATGCGCATTGGAGCACATATATATGCAATGTACGTATCGACGGCATCATCCGTGCATTGGGAAATATCACATCGTAACATTAAAAGTTAACAGAGAAATACATCAACATCATCATCATTATTAACTTCACTGTCGCCGTATCCATATTACATCGTTAATGACACTGTAATCATGACAATAAAAATACCTGAATAAAACATCATGCAATCAAAAATAATACGTTACACTACATTATACGTTAAATAGCAATACACTCGCGTAACGCACGCGGGCGTAGTGGCTTTAAACATCGTTGACGTGGGTGCATATTGTCGGTTGCCTAATATTCGGTCGTCTATAAATACAATTCGCAAGATCACTGTGGGATCGCCCCGCATGGTTTGATACAGTTGCCCATATGACTTTATTTCTTCTTTATAACCCTTCACGCGTCGCAGCAACTTGTTCAATAGTTTCATGACCACGGTATACAGCGTTGGTTTGGTTGGGTTTCAATACGTTATTTATTATTTTTTATTATTTTTTATTTTATGCTGCACAAGTACAGTCGGAAAAATACGAGAACGGTCAGGAAGACTGTTTGAAATCCTCTCTTACTTAAACACAACAGCAATGAAGAGTAGAATTGATCAAAAGGCTATATGGATATGAAAATTACAACAAAGAGGATTTGGTGCCATAAAAAATACAACATTAATTGATAGGCTTCAAACACACAGGCCGACATTAGCGTCATGCAGTGCAATCGGCGTTGCTCGGAAAATAAGCTGCAAGATGGCCGATAAATGGCTCAATTCCTCGCCGCAATTCTGGACGTATTCCAAGCACATATTGAACACACGGCTGTGATTAACCTTGCACATGATCGCGCGTGTCGTTCACTCTCGTCTCGTTTCTGTTTTCTACAGGATCAACTGCTTTCAGAACTACTACTTTCGCTCGTGCGCTAAGGCGCTATACCAGGCTCCGCTCCTGACCTACGTGGAAAGGAGACAACACGGAGAGAACTCTGTTCTGTACGACTGACGGTCGGTGAACGACCTGCTGCGTTCTGCAGGGTCTCTCGGCTGAACTTGTCCGCATTGGCGCCGGCCTAGCCCCGAACAGAGTTACGGCAGTCGGCAAGAAGCGAGGGCATTGACGGAACGACGCCGGAACCCACGTTAGGCAAAGCGAATCGGAACGACGACGAAACCTGGAGGACATCTGCCGATATGATAGTTAGCACATCATGATAATAACAGCAACAGAGCTCTGTGCGTGCTTATGTATGCCTTTCTCTCTGTGTGTGTGTGTAAGTCTGCTTGTTAGTTAGTTTGTTGGTTTGCCTGTCTCTCTCTCTCTCTCTCTCTCTCTATCTCTCTCTCTCTCTCTCTCTATCTCTTTCTCTCTCTCTCTATCTCTCTTTGCCTCTCTCACGCTCTCTCTTTCTCTCTCTCTTTCCCTTACACACGCGCGCGAGCACACACACACCAACACTCACGTGCGCACGCATGCTCACGCAAGCAAGCACGCGCGCACACATAGCAGACAGTTCGATAGCTCTCTGTAGTTAATTCCTCTTCTTCCTCTCTTTCCTCCGCATTCTTCTCCTCCCCTCCTCCTTCATCGATTCGTTGTTTGGTTGCAAAGCGGCGACGCGTGACAAAGTTGACGATATTTTGACGCGTGGACATGACAGCCGCTTCGATTCTCGCCAGGTCTCGCGTGAAGTAACGAGATATTGGATCGGACGCGTGACTGCATGCCTACGATCAATGTATGTGTGTGTGTGTGTGTGTGTGTGTGTGTGTGTGTGTGTGTGTGTGTGTGTGTGTGTGTGTGTGTGTGTGTTTTGTGCGTCGGTGGTGTCGTCGTCCGTCGTGT